GTATGTTGTTATAATGCTAATTACCATATCCAAATCCATACTCTCTTCTCAAGACGCCTTTTAACTTACTTGAGAAGCAAGGATCTGGGAGCCATTCTCAGTTGATGTTCCTTGATCTTGATGAACAACTTCAAGGACTTTGATGTAGACTTGAATGATTAGTTTCTTCTTCTCCTCTTGAAGCTTGGTAAGAGACAACAACCTCATGAGACCCCAGCCTGTGGCCCCGGCGTAGAAAGTGCTGCATAATTCTGTAGGATAAAACAAAATAGATATATCAACTACTTTCTTCTTCATAAATCAGATAGACAACAAACGGAAGCTCATTATACCAAATGATCTATAGAGCTCTTTGCCGAATTGATTCAACAAAACGAAGCAATATCTAGCTCTCAGGGAAGTAGGATTCACAACTTGGAGGAACAGAGCCAAGCGATCATCCTCACCATGGTATCCCTTGGGATAAACGGCAAGACGCCTAAGAGAAAAACTCAGGTTTTTTACTTGTAGATATCGAATATAGACAACGACGACTAGGCTAAGAAAGCTAACGATTTGAGTTCTTTACCATTGGCAGCCGCCGCCGCTCGAGAAGGGTTCCGACTTGATGAAATCCATTTCGCACAAGTTGTCTACCTCCCAACTCAAGGCCTTGTCCATTTTTTGATTTCTTGCGTAATGATGGTAATTTAACTTAAAAGAAAAAAACAAAAAGAACATAGATGAATGCCGCATCTCGAACATTAAATTTTGTGGACAAAGTAGTAGTAAAACAGAGGATCCACCACAAGTTAAGAAGTATTTGTTTAGCCGTATAGCAGCAAGTAAGTAAGGAAGAAGAAGAGATTTCTAAACAACATCAAGTTTCCAAGGGTGCATGCCTAGTTTGTTGGTATACAATGATAGGCCGATACTAGCCGGATATAATAACTAATTTGTTTTTTTGCTAAATCAGATCTGATCCTAGGAACTTGGAGTATCCTATTTTTCATATCCCAGTCCTAAACCACTGAGGGATTCAGAAAGTTCCAA